GGGGGGGATGCAGGGAGTGTGCAGAACAGATGGAATGTAGCTGTGGATTCCTGCGTGTGTGACAACTGGCTTCTTTTTCGCAGGATTTATTAATTTCATTATGGGGTGGGGTTTGGTTTTAGCTCAATTTCCATGTGGCTGTGGAGAAGTAGCACATCTCTGTAGGGCCTATGCTCTTTGTCACCTTCCTTAGCACAGGTAATGGCCCTATTAAAGTGTCCTATTAAAGCACACTAGGGAGACTAATGCACAGTAGCACATCTCTGTAGGGCCTATGCTCTTTGTCACCTTCCTTAGCACAGGTAATGGCCCTATTAAAGTGTCCTATTAAAGCACACTAGGGAGACTAATGCACACCAACAGGGTGGGCAGGAACTCCTTATGTGCAACACATGAGTGTGCTTTAGAAATCAGCCCTTCCCCTGCTCTGGGAAGACTAGCCCTTAGATACCCTTAGATAATCATTTCCAGGGCTTTTCTGGTGTTTATTGGCTACACACAGTTTCGTTTATTTTTGTAGTGGGATGTATGTATGGAAAGCTAGGTTTGTTTCATAGTTTTGTATGCTTGTGTAATTAGGACTGATTTTTCCAAGTGTCGTATATGATCATGTGTATATGTAAACTCTGTGGCTGTGTCTAGACTGGCAAGATTTTCGCAAAAAACTTGCCAGCTGTCTACACTGGCTGCTTGAATTTCCGCAAGAACACTGACAATCTCATGTAAGAAATCAGTGCTTCTTGCGGAAATGCTATGCTGCTCCCGTTTGGGTAAAAGTCCTTTTGCACAAAAGGGCCAGTGTAGACAGCTCAGATTTGTTTTGCGCAAAAAAGCCCCGATCGCAAAAAGGGCAATCGGGGCTTTTTTGCGCAAAAGCGCTTCTAGATTGGCACGGATGCTTTTCCACAAAAAGTGCTTTTGCGGAAAAGCATCCGTGGCCGTCTAAACGCTCTTTTCCGCAAATGCTTTTAACGGAAAACTTTTCCATTAAAAGCATTTGCAGAAAATCATGCCAGTCTAGACATAGCCTGTGTGTCTAAAATTTTACCCTGTTTAATAATGTATTTCATCAATCTGATCAGCAAAGGTACTAATCACTTCCAACTCCCATTTTAGAGCCTCTGAAAAACCAGTTTGCTACATCTATACCTTTTCCTTTAAAGTGTCATTTTTATTCCATACATTGTAAGAGCTTTAATATGGAATTACAGACTTTATAAACCGATAGCTTTCAACTGATCAGACTACTGGCTTGGCATGTTGTTCTGGGGGTTTTTGGTGGACATTTTTAAGTCTGCATCTTAGAATTACTGCATTGTGCTTCTCAAATCTTCAGCTAGACTCTGGATTAAAAACCCATATAATTGCTCTCAGTCATTTTTCCTGAAGGCTCAGGGCCAATATTTAAACTGCTTTAGCTCAGCTGTTTAAAATACTAAATGAAATCCACTCATACGTTGAGGCTTACCAAATTCATGGTTGGTTTTGGACAATTTCATGAAGATAAGATTTTTAAAATCATAAATCTCATGATTTCAGGTATTTAAAATTGAAATTTCACAGTGCTGTATTTGAAGGGATCCTGACCCAAAAAGGAGGGGTTTTTGGGGGAGGGTCACAAGGTTATTTTAGGAGGGGTTTTAGTCCCAGGCCCCACTTCCATTACCCCCCATTTCCCAAGCTCCAATACTGCTCCAACCCCGTTGCACCCCGAAGACTCCTTCCCTCAGTTACATGAGCTGGAGGCCTGGCCGGGGCAGCAGCAGGGTCTGGTTCCCCTGCATTCACCACAGTGGTGGGAAGCAGAGCTGCCCATCCCACTAAGCTCAGCTCCTCCGAGCTCTGGTTGAGCTACTGCTCTCCTTCCCTGTGTGCCGCTGCTGGCAGGGGCCGCCTTCAGCATTGGCCAGCAGCCGCTGCTCTCCTGCCACCCGGCTCTGAAGGCAACACAGAAGTAAGGGTGGCAATACCGCGTCCTCTGTAAAATAGCTTTGTGACCCCCCTGCAGGAGGACCCCTCATTTGAAAAATGTCCTCTCCCCCCATGAAATCGATAATACTGTAGAGTGAAAGCACACCCAAGACCAGATTTCACTGTTCGTGACACACATTTATGGCTATTAATTTGGTAGGGCTCCAGTCATGATTTTAGTCACCACCAGGTTGTGTCCTCTCTGGAGCTAAGGCACGACTTTAAATACTTTCAGCTAAAGGGTTGAGCCCCCTCACAGGCTGCCGTAGCAGACAATCTCTGAGAGTCAGGCCCAGAAAGGGACGTGTCGCATAGACGGAGCAGTGGGCGACAGTAGCGTAGAGGATAAACATTTAACCAACTGTGCAATTATACCAGTGGAAAACGGAGAGCGTCTTATTCTTTGCTCCCTCCGTTTTTCATCTTCCTGCCGGTCTTGACTTTGCCCGCTTCTAGCGCTACACATCTGCTTCGTGCTAAACGTTTTGAAGGAATATTTGACTGTTCTGATTCTTGCATCTGACTCCCTGTTGCTCTCTCTCTCTCTAATCCAGATCTTCTCAGAAAACTTGGCATCATCCTTGTCTGTTTCCTTCTCCCACCTCCTTTCATCTGTGAATCTACATGCTCCACATCTCCATCCTCGCAGGAATTAAACTTCACCTAGGTCACTGCTCCGCCAAAATCCTTATCCACGTGTCATTTCCTCATCACGGCTACTGCAACACCCACTTCTGTGTGCGCGTCGTGTCCCTAGGGGCCCATAATGAGCAAATGCCCCTTGACTCCAGGAACTGGAGCCAGATAGTCTAAGACAGTTCAACATTGCCTGCTTTGGGGCTGCTTTACCCGCCTCTGCCTGTCTTCTCTCAGCCACGCTTCTCATCTACTCTAGGAACCACGTTCTGTGTGGACCGAGGTGACTTGCCTCCAAGCTGTTGAACTGCTTCCTTTCCTTAAAACCCCATCTGTACGACACCATGGCGCCGTGTACCTGATGCTACAATCATTTATAACATTCTTGTGTTCCAGACCATCCTGTGAATGTTGGAATTGGGCCTCTGCTTGGGATCTCTGCTTATTCAGGCTGGATCATTTAACATCATTTAAAAGCTGAGAGTGAAAGAGCTCAGCTTCGGGGGAGCAGCTGTAATGCTTGTTCTTCTTGGGTTTCTTCAGCAACACTTTTGGACACACCAGGCTCCAAACAATGCATCACTCCTGCATAGTGATATTGACAGCATCCAGGATCAGAGCTGCCCACTAATACGCTCTTTCTTGTGTCTCTCTCTCTCTGAAATCAACAGAGCTGGCGCTTTGGCCAAGAATAGCATCACTGCTTCCCAGGAGAAGAGAAGCAGCCCAGGGATCATTCTAAGTCCCAATCCAAGCATCTGGAGACATCTCCAAATATCATGAATTCTAATATTAACAACACCCTCAGCGCTGTACTGTCCAGCCGCACACAGAATATGAGACATTCATCCCAGGTAATGTGCTATTTGGCTGGATGTTGGTCTACTGCATTTTTAACAGGAAGGGGCTTTCCGTTGCACTCCAGATCTTTAGTGAAAGCCCCTCCCTTGTTTCTCAAAAGGGTTTTAAATTTGTATGGAAGCAGTAGTGTCTTTTCCTTTCATAGAAAACTTCCCTCCTCCCCCTACCCCCATTCCAGGGCCTTCAGTCCTCAGTCAGAACTTCATGTTCTAAATTGTAATTTTATCCCATCTCAACTTCCAACTCATCTCTTGATCTCTTAGAGCTGGCCAGCCACTAGCAGATGTCTGGAAGTGAGTGAAATCACTCTGCGCCTCTTTTAGGCATCTGTCTCTGAGTGTCTTTTGTTTTCTGCTTTTCATGGGGTTCCCATCTGGTAAAATTCCCTTCATTGCTGCAAGCCGAGAAAAACCTGCCATCCCAGAGTAGTTCTGTTAACTTCAACCATCGCACTTCTGTATTGGGCACCATACGGGCTACATCCTCCTCCCCCCCCCCAACGGAAGTCAATGGCAAACTCCCCTTCAGACTAGGGTGGGGCACCACGGAGGGCTGTGGAGAATATGTACTTGTTCAGGAATCTCAGTTTGAACAGGCCTTTGTCTGCATTGTGCTGTGCAAGGCACACCATGGGCAGGCCCTGCCCCCAAGGGCTGAGAGCCAGCAGGAACAAGAGGGGTCATGCTGGGAAGCCCAGAGGGAGGAGGAATGAAGGGGGGCTTTAAAGTTGGTTGCAATCACTTCCTGTGGGCATGGCGAGAAGAGGCCTTACGGAGGTGCTTGGCGTGAACAGCAGTGGTGGGTCAGGATGGGTAGCACAAGGGGTCAGCATAGAAAAGACAGTGGGAGGAGATGGCTGTGGCCGATAACACGGTGATCCATGGTGGTTTCCCCTGGCCCTAGTGATGGTTCTGGTACCCAGCGGCTGTAATTGTGATGCCCTTTCTGCAAGAACGCAAGTGAAAGGCTGATCGGTCTTTGCCTCTTTTCCCCCTAGTGGATGGTTGCTGCCATTGTGCTTTTCCTGGCGGTGCCCAGCTCCAGCACCACACCCACCTACCCTTGGAAAGACCCCATTACACACGACAAACTGCTGTGTCATCAGTGTCCACCTGGCACCTTTGTGGCCCAGCACTGCACCCGAGACAAGCCCACCGTGTGTGCCCGGTGCCCAGATCTGCATTACACGCAGTACTGGAACTACCTGGAGAAGTGCCGGTACTGCAATGTCATCTGTGGAGAGCTGCAGGTCGAGCTCCACCAGTGCAACTCCACCCACAACCGGGTGTGCCAGTGCCGGGAGGGCTATTACTCGGATTCCGAGTTCTGCATTGAGCACGCCAAGTGCCCTGCCGGGTTTGGCGTCGTGCAGCCAGGTGGGTATTGCAGCTGGGGGGCTGAGGCAAAAGTCTGTTGTCGTCCTGGCAGAATCCAGGAGGTACCTGTTAGATCGTAGTAGTGGGTAACGTGACATTCCACGTGTGTATTCTCACCGTAGATAGGTGCACCACTGCCCTCTGCTGGTTGGTATGCCAGACCCACTCCAGGGCATGAGAGAATGTCGCCCTCTAGTGGTGATGTCCTTGGAAAGAGCAACATCCTTCTACTGTGGCCCGAGTATAAATATTTCAATGATTCTTGCTAATTTGGCCTCTTGTGGGCACCAAGGGCCAGGCACAGCCGAAGGGAGGAGTCAAAGGGAACATTTGCGCCGGGGCCTGCTGATTTAAAAGAGTCTCCCGACTGCCACTGCTACTACTGCAGCAGCAGCGGAAGCCCCACCCCTTCTGGGAGAGTGGAGCTGGGCTCCTCCCACACTTTGCCCCGGGACCAGAGGGGCTGTCAGCTCCCCAGCCCATGGCTGAAGGCAATAAGGCAGCTAGGCCAGGAAGGTTCATTGTGAGGACCAGAAGTGTTTCTGTCCCGGGACGGCACCGAGAAATGAACTCAGCGATGGGGCTACTTTCTGGAATCCTTATTTGGGGATTTTGGAAGCCCATAATAAAGCTATGAAAGGGGCAACTGAAAATAAGACTGAAAATCCACTGCAAAAAAGGCAGTCCCGTAACAAAGAGCGTTGAAAGCTGACTCGGAAGCAGCGTTCTCTGGATGATCCATGGATTAATGAAGGCTCGTCAGGATTTTGTATCTTTTAGTTCTAATCTTGCCCCCATTCCTGTGGTATTTGTGCTCTTTCCAAAATGACAACACATACACAAAGATGTACCTCTCCCTCTATCTCTCCCTCTCCCTCCCTTCCTCAGTCATCAACGACTGGCCTCTTGATTTTGGTTTGAAGCTGAGGTTTTATGGTAAGCAGGCTCCGTCTTGCCATGGATTTTGCCTCATATTTTGAAAACACTGAGGTCTGGCCATGTTGCCCTGCCAGTCTCCATGACAGCATTCCAGATAGTGGTGTAAAATCCTGATTCATCAGCTAAGCAGGCTCCCAGCCCCGGGGCTGCGGCTACCAGAAAACTCCCAGTCTTACTGGGGCAGCCCATTGCCTGCAACAGGTCATGATCTGGGGGCTGCTCCCGGGCACCCATTAACCAGCACCCAGTAAGCATCACCCGGTCAGGTTAACCGGTTCCCCGTTCACGTCCCTAATTCCAGATTCACCGGGAAAGCCCTGTCTTCTGTGCACAGAGTCTCCAGTGTGAGTTGATGGCTTGTTCCCATGGAAAGTGGCTATTGTGACAGCCATGATGGGACAGGGTGAACTAGATGCCCAAATCACTTAGGCCAGACCCAGGGAGGTTGAATTTGACCAAGTACACAGATGACGGTGATTAGGGCCACATGTGTGGGATGGGGAGCCAGTGAAGAGAGGGACACAGTGGGGCCCCGGACTCTCTGCAGCGGTGCTAGGTTCCTGCATTCTGCACCAGCGGTGCCGTTTTTAAGGTCAGTGGCTTCATACCAAGCGCTCTGCCTTCCGACCTGGGCAATATGGCAACGAAGTGCAGCTGTCCTGAGCGCGAGGCGCAGACAGGTTTCTCCCTCTAGCCGGAAAGGGCATTTTTCATGTTTGCGGCTACTAGGGTGTCCGGAAATCGATTGCGTCCAGACGGGGCGATGGGGTGACTTTAGAGGTGGCAGGCTCTTCAAAGAGCTCTGTGGCATGCGGGCTGCGTGCCCCGGAGCAGTGACCCCTGAGGGCAGCCACTCGCCTGTTAGTGTCCTGCAGGGCTCCTTGGCTCCCGTAAAGACAATCCACTCCAGCCCGTGTGGAATTCTTGGCATGCTGGCTCCTTCCTTACTATTGAGTTTGCTGCCGCGTTTGTTTCTGATCCTGGCCGTGTAAATCCGTGTTCTGAATCCAGCGGGGTGGGGTGCCAGCCTGGGGCTGTCTCGCAGCCAGATCCTGAGTTTGGTGACGGCGTCTCCTCCTTGACGGATGGGGATTTGGCAATGGTCCCGTGAATGCTGTGTGCACAGGGCCTAATCTCTCTCTGACAGCTGCGTGTCTCCCTCTGCCCCGAAGGAACTCAGAGCACTGCCAGGTGCAGACTCTGGGCTGGATTTCCCCATGGCTGTCACCCTGAGCAGTGGGTGCCAGACGTCCGGTAGTGACGGGTGCTCGCTTGACACGGGTGCAAATGACCCCATAGGCACAGGACAGCGGCGAATCGGGCCCCCTTTTTTCACCGTCCTACCCAACACGGTGAGCGTGCGCTCCGGGTATCTCGCTGCTCAGACTCTTTCTGTGCCCCACTTGCAGGTACTCCCCATCGGAACACAAGGTGCGAGATGTGCCCCCCCGGGTTCTTCTCCTCCAGCTCCAGCACAGAGCCGTGCCGGGCCCACCAGAGCTGCTCGCAGCAGGGGAAAGAGACGAACGTGGAGGGAAACCAATTCCACGACGCCCTGTGCACCACCTGCAAGATGTTCAAGGGGAACAGCACCCAGGAGCCAGGTGAGGAGCGAGTCCCCTCGGGACGGCCTAGCATTAGCTGACGTGTGGGGCGGGGTATTCTGTGTCTGCCTGGGCAGGGAGACACTACAGTCCTGTTGCTGCCGGGGCTGGAGTGAAGCTTTCCAGGGTTGCTTGTTCTACTCGGACGCGCAGGGTTAGTGCCAGTGAAACTTAAACAGCCCAAGATTGGTTTTAATTCAACTCCAAAAAGGACCAGCGAATTCCCTCCCGCTTCAAGGGAGGCTGAGCTAAGATAGTCTTCCCAGGCAGGGCCCCCGGGGCAGCCTTGGCTAGCAAGTGGGCTACGTGAGTGGCCTCTTTCATCTCAGTGGCCGCGAGACCGTCGTAACCAAGACACTCCCCTGGGATCGGGTGGTTTTGCTCAGTGCGCTGGCATCCCCAGAATGTGCAGGGCGGGCCCATGGAATCGTGGCCGCGCTGGGTTTGGCTGCAGAGGGCACACGTCAGCGTGGTGTGCAACCAACCCACACCTCCCTTCACGGGCCCTGGCTTTTGACGTGCGTGTCATGTTAGTGCTACCGGTAAAGAAAAAACCATGCAGACTGAAACCAGCCGAGTTTGGCAACCGTGCGCATGGGCAACAGTAAACGAAACGTCTCGTGGGCCACGCGTAGATCCCCGATGAGTCACACGTTGCCCGCTGCTGCTCCCCGGCCACTGCCCCACCAATTCCTGGTGCCCTGAACTTGGACCTATCCCACTGTTCTGCCCTCCCGACCTCTCTGTCTAGCTATCAGGAAGCTCTCCCTCTGGGCACCTTTTGTGTCGGCTGATCTCCCCTTCTGCATTAATCAGGGCTTGAGGTATGTCAGATCAGCCTGTTACCACAGTCTGAACCAGCAGTGAGGCCAGGGTGCTGCTGTCTCTGGCCCTGTCACTCTAGCGGCCCAAAACACACAGCTCTGAGTTATGAAGGAAAATAAAAGTAGGCAAGGCCTGGCCGCAGGTGCAGCAGCGGTGTGCCGCAGCTTGGGCCGCCTTTCCCGACGGCAGCCGCCACGGTCTATTTTTAACTTGTTTTAATTTTGGTTTCGCTTCTAGCTAGTGAGTCTTTTTCCCGCTGAGCCTTTGTTCTCAGACTGTCCTCTACATGAGTAGGGCAGCTTCTCAAAGCCGCTGCCCTGGCCCAAATGCACCATGTGGGAGTGAAGACAATGGATTTGCCCCGCATCGGAATGAATCTGTCTACTTAGCGTCCACGGGGCTGTATAGGTGTCTGGCCTTTCTGACTTCCACAAACAATAGCTTCCCTTTGCCCATTGTGCAGCAGAAGGGATGCTTCCGCCAGCAAACCTGGCATGGGAACATAAGAACGGCCAAACTGGGTCAAACCATAGGTCAGTCTAGCCCATTGACTCAATTATGGCCAATGTCAGGTGCCCCAGAGGGAGTGAACAGAACAGGGAAATCATCAAGCGATCCCTCCTCTGTTACCCATTCCCAGCCCCTGACAAACAGAGACTTAGGGACACCATTCCTGCCCATCCTGGCCAATAAGTATTGATGGACCTAACCTCCAGGAATGTACCTAATTCTCTTTTGAACCCTGTTAAAGTCCTGGCCTTTACAACCTCCTCTAGCGAGGAGTTCCACAGGTTGACTATGCGCTGCGTGATGAAAAACTTCCTTTTGTTTGTTTTAAATCTGCTACCTCTTCATTTCATTTGGTGACCCCGTCATTCTTGCGTTGTGGGGGAAGGAATCTCTTGGTTTCCATCCCCTCAGAGCCGGGGGTCCCTGCTCAATATTCTTCTTTCCTCATTAAGAATTTGCTGCAACCACATTTCAATAAATGCCAGGCAGAACTACTGGCAATTCTCTAATCGGAGTCACGACTCCCTCCCCCTTCCTTGTCAGTCACTTCCCAACCATGTGCCACCTGAGATGTTCGTCAGAAAAGAAGCGACCTTCTCAGTCATTGGCACGTGCTCTTCTCTCGATAAATGTCAGCAAAAGGCTCTGAACCCTGCCCCTGGGTTATTTATAGACACACACTCATCTCTTGAGCAAGGGCGTGTGCTTGCAGAGGGAGACTCTTATGAATGGAGTGATATTTTTAACTCCCAGTTGTAAAAGCATTGGCAGGGTAGCATGTGTGTGTATGTTTCTATGTACGTAGGCGCAGCTCCACGCCCAAACAGCCGCAGTGCAGCGCAAATACCAACTCCGTAGACAGGGTGACGTGCTTTGTTAATGGAAAGTGATATGGCTGCTGAAGTCAGTGGAATTCCTCCAGCTGACGCCATCAGATAAAGGGGCCCAACCCATCCCTCCTGGGGTTTAGGTTTTGCTCCACGGAACGTTTGAACTGAGCCAAGCCAAATCCCCAGGTCTGGGGAGCGCTACTTTTTGGGAGTGTGTGGATTCTGATCTCGTAGGGTACGTCTAGACTACACGCCTCTTTCGAAAGCAATCATCTAGACAGCCACAACTTTTTCGAAAAAGTGAGCCACTTTTTCAAAAGAGAGCAACACCCAGGCCATCTTGGATGCTCTCTTTTGAAAAACCCCTGTTTGCGGTCAAGAACACCTTTTTTTGAAAGAGCTCTTTTGAAAAGAGACGTTCTTCCTCGTAAAATGAGGTTTACCGCTGTCAAAAACCGCCGCATTCTTTTGATTTAATGTCAAAAGAACATGGCAGCAGTCTAGATGCAGGTGCAGTTTTTCGAAAAAAGGCCACTGTTTTCAGAAAAAACCCTGTAGTCTAGACAGCCTTAGGTCCATCTCTGTTGGGAGGTTCTGGGCTGCAGTATGGCTATAGGGCCAAATTGACTCTGGTGCCACGCCACTGAAATCCGTGCATTTGCACTAGACACATGTGGCCCTGTAGGCTAAAACCCGAGACTAAAACCCTGATTTTAAGAGGAATAAGGGATCTTTCGGAAAAGGCTTTATTTTCCGAAAGATCCCCATCTAGACTGGCGCTTTTTGCCGGCAAAGCCCCGAGCCAGAAAAAAGCGGCAGCCATGTTTATGCAAATGAAGCAGGGAAGATTTAAATCCCTGCTTCATTTGCAATTGCGCTGTGTCTAATTTGCATCCCTTTTACGGAAAAGGGGTGCAAATCTAGACACAGCCAATAGGTAATCCCCACAGGATCCTCCCCTGTCACCCATCTCCAGAGAAACAGAGGCTAGGGACACCATTCCGACTCAGCCTAGCTAACAGCCATCGATGGACCTAAGCTCCATCTATCTAACTCTTTTTTGAACCCTGTAAAGAGGCAATGGGCTTAAATTGCAGCAAGGGAGGTTTAGGTTGGACATTAGGAAAAACTTCCTGTCAGGCTGGTTAAACACTGGGATAAATTGCCTAGGTGGGTTGTGGAATCTCCATCTCTGGAGATATCTAAGGGCCAGTTAGACACCTGTCTGGGATGATCTAGAGCAGCTTGGTCCTGCCGTGAGGGCAGGGGACTGGACTCGATGATTCTCGAGGTCCCTTCCAGTTCTGGTGTTCTGTGATTCTATGATTTTCTGGATTCTAATCTCTGGAGCTCACACTCTCAGTATTCACCTAGGAGGTATTTCTGTCTGGGTCCTTTACCCAAACTCTTCCTTTGAACAAGGCAAGTTCCTTTGCCTTAACCCAAGAGAGCTGAGTGTAGAACTGATTTTTGGTTTGCTGGCTGAACTGAAAAATAATTTTTAAAAAATGATTTGTTTTGAACCAAAACTGAGATCTGTTCATTTTTCCTCCTCCTAAAACAAAAACTTGGAAAAAACATTGTTTTGCGTTGAACAAAATGGTGCAACTCTTGCAGAATATTTTTTGGGAGGGTGCATTGTTGTGTGTTGGGTCTATTTTACTTTCCTTTTTTAAAACAAATCATCTAGATCCCAAAATAAAATGTTTTGCAAGGAGAAGTGGAGCACTTTCGACTTTCTAACATTTTGTTTTCCAGTTTTATTTGGCTGACACACTTCTTCCAAATCATCCCAAATTCGTGAAGCATTTCAAGTGCCCCAAAATTCCATTTGCCAGAGACCTGAGTATGTAGCACTGTGTAGTGCTTTATCAGAAAAGAAACCAAACGTTTTCTCCCATCTACTCATAACTGACTAATCCAGCATCCCCGCCCCTCCCCTCCCACCCCAGGCAATCAATTGTCTCTCCTCAGCTGGTTTGATTTACAGTGAGCAAACAAGTCTTCAAAAGTGAGGTGCTTTTGTGTAGGAGGGGGCTGATGGTCACATGCTCAGTCGATGCATGGGTGCCTCTGATTTGTGTGAGTGCATGGGAATTATGTCAGCTTCCATGGCCGCACAGATCTCTCTAGCTGTGTGCACACCTGGGCATTGTCATGCATCCCTCTGGCAGCACAGGCACAAAGGTGGGCCCAAGATGTGTACATAGCCAAGGTCTGAAATTCACGCTCTCCGTGTGGTAAGGCTTTTGCAAGAATCGGTGGGACAAAAGCCTGGGTGAAAGCCGTGGGATGAGACCAGCAGGGGCAAGATGGGACAGACGTCTGGGTCAACTTGATTTGAAAAGTATTCCCGAAAGCGCTTGGGCGGTGCTGCTGGGTCTGGCAGCAGGTTGGCTGCCCTTCTGGGGCTCAGCTGCTGACCACCTGCCAGGAACCTCTCCAGCCGCACAAGGATTGGCCTCCTCGTTCTGATCCCCAGAGGGCAGTGGGGTTGGCTCGTTCATGTCCCCGCGCACCAAGCCTCACGCTGGTTTGCTCCTCCCCACTAGGAAACGCGGACTGTAACCAAGCCGTGATCGACTTTGTGGTGTACCAGAACATCCCAGTGAAAAAGCTGAAGCGCCTGCAGCAAATCTTTGAGCGGCGCTCCAAGGAGCACCAACACAAGGACTCCCAGGCTGCCCTGCAGGAGAAGTTCCACACGTACCTCACCCACCTGAAGAAGGATCACTTGGAGCTGGTCAAAGTGCTGCTGAACGCGCTGCGGGTGGCCAAGCTGCACTCGGTAGAAGAGAAGGTGCGGAGACGCTTCTCCTTGCCACTAGAGAATTAACAGACCTGGGGGAGTTTGGAGTGAGTGAGGTTGGTTGGTTTGTTGCTGGTCAGGCTTGTTTAATTTATTAACTTTTCACCCACTAACTTGAGATTCACCTTGGAGAGGACGGACGGGGGGGCAGCGATTAAGATGCAGTCTCTGATTCGTTCCGGAGCCTCTCCGTTCTGGCAGCTGGCCATTGTCTCTGTGTCTGTCTGTCTGTCCTGGCCACGGGTGACGTCTGTAGTGCAGTCTGTGCCGGGGCTAGCGGAACTTCCCTTCAAGTGGAGCTGGATGAGAACTGAGAGAAACTCGCACTTTGAACATAAACCTTCCAGCCTCTGGAGTGGAGGGTAGATGCTATTCCTGCTTTCTCAGAATTGTCCGATTCCCAGGAGCGCACTCCATGCCCCTTGACAGCACAAGGATCCCCGTGGCCCTTTCTCAGGCCTCTGAGCAGTTTAATTTGACCCTGTTTTAAAAACGATTTGTAAATATTTCCATTGGAAACCTGCCTTTCACCTTCCAACGCTAAGTTACTTTCCAAGAGGGGTTTATCCCAGAGCTGCGTCGGCTCTAGGAGGCCCCTGAGGTCACTGGGTTACAGCCTCTTGTACACGTATTTCTACAGTGCCTTGTTTTGTATTGGTTTGATACACAGAAACGGAAAAATGGCCTTTGCCTCTTCTCTCGTTCTCTTCCTCTGGCTCCGCCTTTGCATCCCCCCCTCGTGCGCGCGCACACGTCCCCGGATTGCACTAGTCCATGTCTGCACGCGGGTGCGCCGCTTCCAGCCACTGAGGCAAGCCCCCAGCACGAAGGCGGGCAAGTTACAGCCCATGGGCTGGATCTGGACCGCCCTGTCCTGCAGCCCGGTAGGACCTTCGGGCAGGCTCCCTGCCGGCCACGCCCCCGCACGCTGCTCAAAGCAGCTGGCTGTGGGGGTCACACGCCCCCACCCCACCCCCAGCACAATCTTGCAGCTCCCATTGGAAAGAAGCCAGAGGGAGCTGTCTGGGCCCTGCTTGCCCCCGGAGAACCCCACCCTCAAGGGGAGCGCATGGCCTGGCCGCTTTGAGCAGTGGGTGGGAATGCAGCAGGCAGGAAGCCTGCCCGAAATGCCCATCGGGCTGCTGGCAGGGAGCTGCCTGGGTAAGCTCCTCCTGGCCAGAGCCTGCACCTGGCACCCCCCCCCCTCCTGCATCCCAGCCCAACCCCCCTGCACCCCAATCTGCTGCCCCAGGTCACAACCCAAACCCTGGCACCCCCTCCTACATCCCTTCTCCACGTCCGAATCCTATACCCCCTCCAAGACCCTGCGCCCCTTCTCACACCCCAATCCCTGGCTCCAGCTACAACCCCTTCCTTCACCCAGACTCCCTTCCAGACTCCTGCACCCCAATCCCCAGCCCTGAGCTCCCTCCTGCACCCAACCTCCAACCCAGGCCCCGCACCTCCTCCATGAAAGGAGTGCGGCCTTTGACTACTTTGCAAATTCTTG